CCAGAAGGACCTGAATGAGGCAGCGTGGGGACTGCAGGAGACTGAGATCAAACTGCAGGCCTGTAGGGGCCTCCAGGAGGAGTCAGAGGTTGACAGTCCGGCTGCCTCTAACAGCCACTGGCTTACAAGTCTTTCACGGTAGGAGAGAACATGTGTGGGGTGGGGAAGAGGAGTGAAAACTCACTGAGTAAATGGAATTACTGGGTAAGAAAACAGGAGTGGAGCCTGGCATGATTAATCCCAGCACTTGGGAGGCAGAGGCAGGTGGGTCTCTTCGAGCTCAAGGCCAGCCTGGTCTACAGAGTGAGTGAGAGGCCTTGTAATGAAAAAAGATAACAGGAGTGCTTTGCCCTATAACTACCATGTCAAACACTCCGAGACCCAAGCTAACAACGGTCATTTGTTGTTGCATCCCAGGAGTCGGTTGTGAGCCAGGTTCTGTAGGAGACACCATCTCCCCAGTTTCTCGACACTGGCCTGTATGCAGTTACCGCCCAACAGAGGCCAGCACGAGCATCCAGTAACTGCCCAGCCTCTGCTCCTCCTCACACCGTTTTCCTAAAATGGAAAGCACCCAGTCTAGAACATAAACAGAGGAACATCCCCTTGGGCTCTGCACCACCGCAGGGCAGCTTAACCTCCTCTCCTTTGTCCTTGTTCGCCTCCTCTGTCCTCCCCAGCAGGCACTCCTGTCTGGGGCCCAGCCCATCTCCCGCCTCCTCTGTGAGCCTCCCTGGTCTTCTCCAGTCCTTGAGATCCTGGCCTTTCTTCCAGCATCCTGACTCCTCAGCCCCAGGACATCTTTAGCTCTCCCAATGTTGCCCTCTGCTGGATACAGAAGTCATGCCGTCCAAGTGGGATACCTCATCCCCAAGACCCAGACTTCCATGCCGTATTTGTCCTGAGCTCTGCCACAGCATGGAAGACAGTGATGGAGAGTGGGCGTGTCACTGGCCCAGCACCTGAGCTGGGATTCCTGTTCTGCCACCCTGGACAACGTGGATCAGTGGTGCCATCTGTGGTCTGATAACTCAAGGTCTGTAATTGGCCAGCAGCTGCTGTGGCTCTCTCTCCCTGTCCAGCATCACAGTTAAGGGGTTTGAGTTCTAATGCTACTTCCTCCGCTGCTCTCAAAGCCATTTAACCTTGATTTCCTCGTGTGTAAAACGGGGATAATTATTCTCATTGCATCAGATTATTAAGAGAATAAAAGGAGGGTTTTTTGTTGTTGTTTTTTTAATGCAGAACATCCAGAACAATTCCTGGCACCTATGAAGCCCAAGGCAAGGGTGCCTTCTTTACATTCTTGTTATCTTAGGACATGGTCAAATGCACCACACCCACTCTAAGTGTTCCTGTGAAGACCAATGAGATCCCATGGAAAGAGCCCAACACATCAGGCATTCCACAGGTCATCCCACCCCTCATCCTCCCACAGAGCCTGGAACTGTGCCAGGCAGGGAGAGAGGCCTGTAAACACTTGTGAACAGTTTGACACCTTCCCAGAGCCCTGTCTTCTCACTTAAAGGATACAAAGTTTTTCTTAATACTCATAATTCCCATGGCTGCTTGTGCCCATTTTTACAGATGGAAGCAATGAGGTCCAGGGGAGTAGTTAGCAGACTAGGCCACTCAGCTAACATATGTCATACGCAAGGCACCACTGATAGCCAGTGCTTTAAAACCTGTGCTATTAGTCACTACACAACCCAGCCAGTCTCCTGCCAAAAATCCCCTAACCAATGGCAAGATATCATTTGCCACTGAGTTCATCATTTCCTGAGTGTCTTCTAATGATAAACATTAAGTTTGGGATCAGGAAATTACCAGGTGCCAAGTCAGCCAAGGTCCTCAAGCCATAATCGAGGGACTTTTCTGGAAGGTGAATGTGCACTGTCTGTCACCATGGGGATACCCTGTTCAAAGACGGAGAAATCCTTTTGCCAAAGCCCCTTTGATGTCAGGGTGGGGCGATGTTACATAGAAGAGCTCCCAGGAGACCCAGGGGCTGGCAAGCAGGGGCCAGCTGGGAAACCAGGACTGTCCATTGGAAAGTGGCCAGTTTCCTGAGCCACCTCTCCAGATCACCCTCGTGATGCAGAGGACCCATGGAGAGCCAGAGAAGTGGAATGTGGGGTGCTGGGGACAGTGGGGCACAGGGGAAGCAGCGCCAAGTTAGCCCCTCATGGAGAAGTCCAGGAGTAAATTTTTTTTTTTTTTTTACATGGTGAATCACCTTCCCGAGCCTGCCCACTGCAGTCCTCTGCCAATGTTTGTTAAATGAAGGGTCAAATGGGCAATAGCAGGCAGCAGTCTGGCTGTGAATGAGCCCAGCATCTGCCTTCCCGTTCATTCCTAGGTTCCTCCTCATCAGGCTTGAGGGCATGTGTCACATTCTCAGTCACTGTTCTAAAATACCACCCACTCCACCCCCACCAATGAAGGAGGCACCCCGGTGCTCACCCTCATTTTAGAGCCCTCTGGACAAGTTCTGAAGCTCTAAGAAAAAGAGCAGAGTACCCAGCCTAGCAGAGCCAGGGCCCAGGAGCACTGGAGGAAATCTTGCCTTCCTCCCACACACCATCAGTCAGAGCTGTCAGCTTCCAAAAACGTTTAGCAAGTGCGGCATCAAGAGGGACATGCTGATGGGCCGGGTGTGGGAGCTTGTGTGGGGAGGGCTTTCTCTGGCTCTGAGTTCCAACAGTCTGTCTCCAACCAGTTTCTAGCTCCAGTTCCTCCATCAGAAAGCTAGGAATGTGTTGAGTGTTAACCGCCAATCAAAGAAAGCTACAGAAGGTAGAGACTCTGTGAGCGGAGAAGTAGGTGCCCAAAAGGTCAGCTGGTCTGTTGCTACTTCTCTCATACCAACCCCAAACTGCCTTCCTCTCCTGACTGGGACAGTCACATCCGTCAGGTCGGCCTGTCCCTAAAAGTCCCTGCTGACTGGCAGCCAAGAAAATACAGCATGCCCCTGCTCCCTCCTGCCAGAAGAGGAGGAAGGCAGCAGTCCAAGAGAAACTGATTGGCCCTTAAGGATTTCCTTAAAAGAGATTGCATGGCCAGGGCCTGTCACCCTGCCCAGTAGGGGGATGCCTGCTCTGCCCGGAAAGGTACAAGTCACCGTTTCTCTTCCAGGCATTCTCTCACTCACACCATCATCTCCCTAATCACCAGAGCCACCAACACGGGTAGCATAGACTACCCAGGAAGGAGGGGCTTAGCTTCGGCAGCCATTCTGAGACAGCCAAGCCACCCCTATGGCAACTGCAAGCCCAGTCACTAGCTGCTCCAGCAAGCTAGCAGTCAGCAGCACCTGGCCAGAATCCTTTCCCCCTAAAGATGGAACGGGAACAAGCTATCTTCAAGCTAGGAGGAGGGCAGGCTCGGGGCAACCACCCAGCATCCCTTGTCCTGGATCTCATAGCTGGGCCAGGTGGTATCCAATCCAAAGAGGCACCAGTCCATTCCTTCACGGGTTACCACCCGAGCACGGACACACATCACAGCAGGAGATACTGTCTCCTTGGGGCCAAGCACTCAGCATTCAGGCCCTAACATTTCCAATGTCAGCATGCGCTTTTTGAGACTACCTCTACCACCTGCTCCAACCCCAAAGAAGCCGCAGGCTGCCAGCACCCCTTAGATTTGCGGAGCTCCTTAGGCGAACCTCTGGCACCCTGGCCACACCCACTGACCAGTGTATCCTTCCAATCTGCCAGCTGAAGGGGTATGCTTCCTCTCCCCAACTACATTATGGTAGCCTCTCCTCCAGGCAGCCCTGTCCCTCCCTCCCCCATGAAGGATCACCCATCACCATCCCACCCCCCAACAGTGCCCTGGCACACAGCACCCCTCACCTGGGTATCGAACCCGTTCTCCAGAGAGCTGCTTTTCCGCAACGGGAGCCCCTCCCCCGTCGGCTCCTGCAGCCCCTGCGATTTCAGGGGGAGCTGGCTAGTGTAGGCCGTCTTGCTCACCTCCACCTTGCTTCCCAACTTAAGGTAGCAGGGCTGCGGACCAGTCCGGGCCGGGGGCACGTGCAGGATGGGCGCGGCGCTGTGCACCGGTTTGGGCAGTCCCGACTTCATTTTGGAGGCTACCAGGATGGCCGGCATCTTCTCCCGGGGCTTCGGTTTTCCCAGCACGTCCCTGGCAGCGGCTGCGGAGGCGACCGCTAAAGGCAGCGCGGGCAGCCGAGCAGGCGCCGGGCCTCGGCCCGCGAGGCGCCCACCAACAGTGGAGAAAAAAATAAAAAATAAAATCCCCGGGTCGGGGAGCAGGGGAAATCCTGCGAGTGCGCCTGCGGGGGTGGCGGGCTGGTCACTGCCCTCAGCAGGTTCCACCTGCGCGTATGTCGCAGCGGGCGGCCTGCTCAGAAGCTCGGGGACCGCCGCCTTTGGCAATTCTTCTCCTGGGAAACCGTGGCGTGGACGCCCATATTAACTTGTCATTGCATCTCGGAAGTGAGGAGGCTCCTTAGGAAAAGACACAGGCTAGGGACGCACACGTCGCGCTCCGGAGGCTGCGGGTGTGAACCGCGGAGCAAATGAGCGGAGAACGGGGAGACGGAGGGCTCACGGAGCAGAGGAGGTCTCAACCGCGGGGCGGCTGTCACCCTGCAAGCACGCCGCAGTGTCACCCGCGCCGAAGCGGACGCACGACGATCTCCCCAGAAAGGTCTTGTCTGGGCGTGACAGCCGGTCACCGCTGTTCACAAGCCCCTGGAACACACAGCACCTGAGCGCCTGCGGATCTGCCCATGCTCCGTGCGCTCGAGAGCAGCACGGCGGTGGCGGAGGGGCGCGGGCACCGGGACGCGCAGCTGGCCGGGCTGGTTGCGCTGCGCTGCGCTGCGCTGAGCTCCGGGGAAGGCAGCGCGGGCTGCAGGCAGGGCTGGACGCAGGGGAGGACCGGCTGCGGCGCGCGCTGACAGCCCGGGCCGTTCCCGCGCGCCCATTGGTTCGCGGCGGACCAATCCGAGGTCGCGACTCGCACTGCAAGGGGGCGTGGCCTCAACTCCCGGGGCCGCCGCCGAAACTCTGGGGCCGCGCTTGGCCGCAAGTACAAAGCGAGCTGGTGGCCGCTCTGCGGCACGGCCCCGGCGCGCGCCTCCCTGCGGGCCACCACCCCCGCGTCCCCGGAGCCGCCCGAAAACGCCGTTGGAACGCAGATTCCCGCCTCTCCCCGTCCCCCCACCCCTCCCGCCCTGGCATGTGTCGGGGAAATCGGTTTCCCTTTTTCAAAATGGCTTGGGTCATCTCAACGGTTTGCGGGTTTCGAAGACACGCCCCAGCCTCCCTGCACCTTCATCGGGATTTGACAGGGCAGGTCTCCTTGTCCCCTGCCTGAAGGACACTCCAGCCATTTCTCCTTTCCGGGCGGGCCCAGGGGCCTCCCAACAGTTTCCTCTGGGACATTCAAATGTAGCACATTGCACTTAAGTATTTGAAGTATTTATAGGCTGATACAATGGCCGGGGAAGCTTCGCGCCCCAAGACAGCTCCTCCCGCCACCTACCACAGACTGTAATTAGAGCGGCTTGGTGACCCGGGCAGGCTGAGGCCAAACCTGCCCCGGTTTCATGGTTTCATTCTGGCCTGGCTGGCTGGCTGGCTGCTCCTGGGACGTGCCAAGACCACAGGTTCTTCCACTTGGAATCGCTGGAGTATCTCTTCCTCTCTGACACAGTCTGAGTACTGAAGGAAAAATAGATAGATGATCCAAGCAGGCTGCTTTGGGGTTGATCGTGGAGGAGGCCAACCTGGAGAACGGTTTGGATTTGAATTGGGAAGTTTCTCCACCTTCACAGATCTTCTAAAACTGCGGGTGTCTCATGCGGTCAAGTGGAGGTTTGAGTACATTTCTAAAATGTACTGCCCCGGCTAAATGAGGTAGTGCCTGCCAGTGTAGGGGACCAGAAAAGGCTGTGTCTTTGTTATTAATGTGCCAGCATGTCCCACCATATAAGCCACATTTCTCTGAGTGTAGGATACAAATTGTCACTTTATTCCTACCCTATAGCCTGATCTACAAGATCCATAGAGTTAATTTTCTATCGTCCCAATGCTATTGACTGTATCCCTGGCAAAACTCTAACGTGGTCAGGAATGGTGGTGCAAGCCTGTAATTTCTGCTACTACAGAGGCTGAGGCAAGAGGATCCCAAGCTCAGGCCAATTTTATGAGACTCTTTTGTCCAAATAAAAGCAAAAAACGGTTGGAGATGTAGCTCAGTGGTGGACAGCTTGCTTGCTTAGCATAAGCAAGAGTCTGATTTCAGTGCCCAGGACTATAAATAAGCGCCCTGATTCTCAACTTGTATCAGGCAGTGCAGCCTTTGGCAGGTAGTAAGCACATGACAAGGAATCCTCACGATGGGATCAATGCTGATATTAGAGGAGATGGGATGAAGACAGATGATTGCTTTCTGATAGTGAAATGGCAGCCTGTCTGGATCACAGAAACAGCCCTTGACAAGAATTTGACCATGGCTAAAGCCCGGTCCCAGACCTCCAGCCTCTACGCCTAGGAAAAAATAAATGTTAGTCATTTAAACTGTCCTGTCTACAGCTTAAATTCTATTGTAGCTTAAATTAAAATCCAAAGTGAAAACTAAGACCAAAGTAAAAGTTCAGTCTTAAAACAGCCCCTGCAGCATTGAGAGGTGAGATGGTACTCTCCACCCCCCATCCATTCTGTTTGCAGGGACTTTTGACCCTAGCTAGAGGGAGATGCACATAGCCTGTTTTAGCTCTTTGTCTCACTCTCTGAAATTAATCACAAATGGTCCCTGACACGGTGCACTCTGACCTCGACCATCCGAATGACCTCCTATGCTGGTGTCTTGCTTTAACTTATTTATTGTTTCATACATTCTCTTCTAAAGGAATAAATGTTTTGAAGAACCATATTTTGACTTTCATGAGATTCTGTCAGAACTGAGCAGAATGCTATGGACTGAAAAGCTACCCAAATTGTTACTGAATATGAATGCATGGTGAGATTGCCTTTTAGTAGGAATATACCAAAATGAAAAAGGCTTATGCTACAGTCCACCTTGAACTCTAGTATGAAGAGTTATAGAAAGACACTGCCATCATCAGTTGTTAAGACTGTGGAACTATCTCCAAATATCCTCAGAGCTCAGATGCAGTGAGTGTCCAAAATCTGGTTTCTGGAGCAGCAGCAGAAAAACTTTGACACACTCCACCTCATCCCATGCTATTGAATGAACACTCCCAGAGGGTAAGTAGTGGGGGCAGGCAATCTGTGTTTTAACAAATTCTTAATGAGGGCATTTTAATGCATGCTAAAGCTAAGAATTCTAGCCAAATGAAGTGTGCATTCAGTGCACTTCCGGTGCCTCCTAAGCCTTCATATGCATAAGAGCCACAGATCCCAATTCAGCAGATCTCCAAGAAGCTGAGATTCTGTCTGCCAAATAAACTCGCAGGTGATGGATACTCCTGCTGGGAGTCCGGATATCCACACTGTAGGCTGTGAGGTCAGACCACTGTCAACAGGGGTGTAACAGCTCAAAGCCCAGCTGAAGTTAAGTGGCTTTTGTAACTCTGCTCTGAAGAGTCTCAGGGTTCATCCACCTCGCAGGGGACAGCAGCCAGCAGCCTAGTCCGTCGGTGAAGTGTACCATGGACACAGACATGAAAGTAGTGATGGCTACCATATGTGTTTTCCCATTAAAAAAAATTCCCAGGTAAATCAAAATTGCCACCAAAGCCATTTTTGGGGGTTCTGAGACAGTCAAATCTGTATGAATATAAAAAAAATAGTAATCCTTTGCTTTGAATTAAATGCATTTGTAGGCTAAGGGGTCACTCGGGTAAAATGCCCTGCAAGTGCAAGGACCTAAGTTCCCTCTTGTGTTTAAAAAAAAAAAAAAAAAAAAAGATAGTGTATGATTTTTTTAACCTCTGCCCTCCACATGCACACACATGCAGACACACACATCTGCACACACTTGTGCACTTGCACACTCCAAACCACTCATAATATTATTGCTTGGTAAACAAAACACACTATTTGTCTTAACTGAGGGTTATCCAATGACTGACGTCTGATGAGGTCTTAGATAACTGAAGGCATGTACATCTTCCTGCAAACTTCCGAATGTCTTTCTCTGCCTCCTCATCCCTTCAGTAATTGTCGTTGCTCTTCCCTGCACAGTTTCCTCTTCATTTTTTCTCTCCTTTATTTTTCCTACCTAAAGTAAAATATCACACAAACCAGAAGAGGGAGAAAAATAGCAAACGGGAGGCAAAATCAGATAATTATGACATTTCTATTTAAATCAGATTGTGGCCAGTTACAAAAGTATCTCTAAGTAGATTGCTTCCACGTGGCTATTATGTTAACATGAGAAAGGGGAACTTTAAATCAATGTAGTTAGCAAGCACTGGCAGCTGAAAGAGTTGGTAATTGAGAGAAGAGCAAGCAGTTCTGGGAAGAACCTTCCTTAGTTCTAAAGAACATTTGTCCATTTTGATTACATGCAGCATAGACAAAGATGCAACACTGAGACAGGCCCTGTGTGAAGCCCCGGCACCGGCAACACTTCTTTTTTTGGTTCTCGGATTCTAAACTTTCAAAATCACCCAAATGTCAGCTATAGGCCAATTGGGAACACCAAAGTGCTCAGGACCACTGGATGATCTTGTGTTTGGATGCCCCCTGGGGGCAAGAGCCAGCCTCCAATCAGGAAGCACCAACTGCCCCCCTCCCTCTGTAATCTCAACATCAGCCACTGGTGGTTTGCTAAGTGGGGATTGGGCTTCAGCGCTGACCTGTAAGTGACCAGTCCCATCAACCCATCCTTCATGTAGTTACAGACCCCATCTGCCTGACCTCCCAAGAAGACAGTCCTGTAAAAAGCCAAAAACATCTTAAACTCCAGCCTGTCAGGGGAAAAAAATGCAAGGAGAGTCAGCTGCCCCCTGCAGACCCTCAATTATAAAGGAGAAAGAAACTGCAATGCTCTGAAGGAATATAAAAAGCAAAACACTTTTTGTGAGACTATTTGGGAGTTAAAAAAAAAAAAAAGCACAACAGTTTATTTGGGAAAACATGCTTGTTCCTAGTTTCCTAAGGCATAAATTGTCAGTTTAGGGCACATGTCCCAGGGATGGCACAAATGCTCACTTTCAGTAGTAGCTGAGTTAAGAGCTCACCCATCCTAGACTGTGGAGTCGCAGACCTTCAGAACCCTGCCTATCTACAGGTAGACAGTACTCTCCTCCAGTGGAGTAACTGCCATCTTGTAAGACCAGCTGTATCTGCTTGCAAACGATCATCACAGCTGGGCTTGTTAACTGTTGACATTCCCTCACTGAAGGGGGTGGGGTGGGGAGACTCATTGGACCTTCCTGAATATTCAGTCGTGCCTCCCAGCTAGTTATCTGCAATTTTGCAGCTTTGCATATGGTCTCAGGGATCTTGGAGAGGGGGGTAGAGTATATGAGCTGGGAAACAGAAGAGGATCCATCTGTACAACCACGTACTGGGTGTAGACAGTCCAGGCTGCTTTAAGGTCTTGATGTTCCTGCCCATAACCTCACACCTATTTTCCCCAAGTAAGCCAAGTAAAATCCCTGGCTCCCCAGGTTGAATTTTGGTGGAATTGGACCATTTTGGGACATTCTAAAGAGGGGGTAGTAGACATTGCTTAGTCACCCCAGAGAGAGAAGTCTGTCAATATCCATCCTCCCTACTCCACTTCTAAACTCTTGTGTCCTTCCAGCAAGGGGTGTGATTGTAAATCACACTGCACACGGAGGTATCTCTGGGTTGTTTTTGAGAGTCATAAACTGAGGTTCCCCCATCTGCAGGCCTTGGCATTGTGTGAATGTGAGCTCACCACCTCCCCAGGCAATGGCCCTGACTAAAAGTCAAACATCTAGCAAAGCATTGGTTCATCAGGGGCTCAGTCATCAACTCAGAGAACAGACATTTTAACATGATCTAGGTCCTAGACTCTGGGTGTATTTTGGGAAGTGAATGAGATAAAGTTCTCCTCTCAGGTCCCAAGGGTGCTGTGACTGCTGTCCTTCTACCTGCTTTCTCCCCAGCAAAAAGCTCAGCGAGCTGCCTGTCGGTCTGGTGGGGGAAATGGAAAAATAACAAAAGAGCATAACCAGTGTTCCAGTAGAAGCCGAACAAAGCAAAGCATGAAGAGCCGGGCACAAGGGAGGGTCATGTAGTCATGGGGCTACCTGCCATGCCCATTAGTTTTCTGACAACGACAATAAAAAGAGTAACAGATATTTTTTTTTTTTGCTTCTTCCTTAAGAGATCTTGGTCTCTGCTGCCTTGCTACATCTAGGAAGGTGTTTGTTTGTTGTTTGGTTGGTTGGTTGTTTTGCTTGCATCCTGCTTCATTTGACAGAGGATTTTTACAAAGCGCACATCCAATGAAACAGTGGCTAAAAACAATTAAGAATTAGTGCAATCACCATAGAAAACATGTCTTCCTTAAAACTTAAGAGTGTGGCTACTTTCGTCTCCTGTCAGTGAGAGAAGGCTGTATCAATCAGCGACAGCAATGGGAACATAAGCCACCTGTCACTTCCTCCCTGACGCTGGCACTGGTAAACCACAGAGACGAAGAGCTCACACTTGCTGGGTCCAGGCTGCTCAAGAATGAGCCTCTGGGTGCATGGCCTTAGTGACTTCTGAGTGTCTTGTCATCTAAAGAGTGGCCCCAAATGCAGGGGTCAAGCCATTGTCTTGTGACTCCTGAATAGGAATTATTCTATTCCCTGACATTTCATGTGAGGGGCCCTTGGGGATGGAGTAAGCCAGAGCAGAGTGCAGACTCCCCAAGGTGGTAAGACGTGCTACCCAGTATTCTGTCACTGACAAACACCCGAGATCAGGCAGGTTTGTTCCAGCTCATGGTTCTGAAGGATTCTGTCGGTGGTACCGTTGCTTTGGGCTCCACGTAGCACAGAACATCGTCACACAGCATGCTGAGGGCCAAGGCTGGTCAGAACAGCCAAGAAGCAATGACAGAGAAGAGGTTAAGGTCCCAGTCTCCTCAGTGACCTGACTCTTTCCAACAGACCCCCACCTCTGACGGTCTGTGCCCTCAGGCTAGGGATGACACAGGCTAGGGATGAAGCCTGCAACTCACATGCTTTGGGCGACGCTTGTCCCCACCACACCACAAAGTGAAGCCCTGTACTGAGCTGTTACTCGGAGTGACATTTTCCCCTCAATTGAGGGGAACTATAACCCACATATATGTAAGTGCCATAAGGAAAGCTATTATTTTGTAAGCTAATTTTAAAAGGAATTAAAGAGAACTATAAACAAAGGTCCATATGTTGAATCTGGGTTTGTTTAGCAGCAGAAGGATGAAGATGGGAAAAAGAAACAGACCCAAGAACAGCCTGGTTCTGATGGGAACAGGAATTCAAAATCAGGGATGCCCAGGAGATGAACCTGGGCTTGCTTCCCACCTGCCTGGTCCCCCACTCCTGAGTGGCAGAAATATAGAGTCAAGTTTCCTGTTTGGCTTAGGGCAGGATTATCATGGGGATCTGTCTTTTGACAGTGGCTGGGCTGAGGGCTGAGTGGTAACTGCATGAGAGGACAATGAGGAAAGTAGACAAAGAGACTGCATGGGTCTTCTGACCCAGGCAGTGGGCTGTGGCTGAGGTTGCACTCAAGGGCGGCACATCCACTGTTTTGAAGTCAGGAAGCAAAGGTGAAAAACAAATCGTCTAATCTGTCCAGATCTAGGGTGATCCCACCAGCAAGCTTTTTTTGTTGCTTTTAAAATTTTAATTCTCCACCTGCTTTTCACAATCACTCTTACAGATAAGTATATATATCCTTTTTTTGTTGTTGTTTGTTTGGTTAGTTTTTTGTTTGTTTGTTTTGTTTGCTGTTGTTGTTTTGTTGAGATAGGGCCTCATGTAGCCCCGGTTGGCTTTGAACTCCCCATGTAGTTGAGGATGATCTTGAACTTCTGATCTTCCTGCCTCCACCTCCAAAGTACTGGAAAACGGGTGCACCATCATAACCGATTTTCATGTAATACTGGGCATCAAACCCAAGGCTTCATGCATGCTAGGCAAGCACTTGACCAACTGAGCCACGCTCCTGACCTTCCAACTGGTCCTTTAACAAAGTGTTCCTTCTTTTACAGTACCCACTCTTCCCACACATCAGTCTCTACTACCAGAGTGGCCTCAGTAGTAATGCTGATATTGATAAGAGGTACAATC